AGAGAGAGAGAGAGAGAGAGAGAGAGAGAGAGAGAGAGAGAGAGAGAGAGAGAGATGTTAAGGGATTGTGGTAGGTAGATAGCATTGTTCCGTAAGGATAGACAGGGCAGGGGAGGCTCCTAAACCCTAAACCCTAAACTCTATGCTTCTAAATCCGTAGCCCCCTCAAACTCTGAACCCTAAGCCCTCACACCCTTACACCCTAACCCCCTAACCCTAACCCCTAACCCCTAAACCCCTAACACCTAAACCCTAAACCCCTAAACCCTAAACCCCAAGCCCCTTACCCACTAAACCCTATATCCTAAATCAGGGGGCAAGGTTACTTAAGCCCCATCTTGCTGTAATTACACTGCTCTCTTGACAAGATTAGTGGATAATGGCACTGGGGAAAAGTTGTTCATCGCAGATTTATCAATCGGATGCGGTATATGATGCACGGTGGGGATCAGGATGCTACCGCTATTGATTCTATTTGAAATAGCAAGTCATTCTAGTGTAGTAATGTCATCCTTGCCTTCCAGTTGTACGTATGGACTGTATGATCGAGCTATTTTCTAAACACAATCATAATTCGGGCCCCTGAGCGTTCTCAGCCTACCTAACCCCTTACCAAGGGGGCAAGCACGAAAGCGGCATTCAGGAGGTCGTGGGTTCTATTCGCCACCTCTTCCTTTCAAACCCCCATGGACTTCTGCGGCATGCTGAGGGTTCACCAGCTGAGATAGTTGGCTTGGCCCCTTGGTTGGTTTGGTAGGGGCTATCCCTTCGTCTTTTCCGGCCCTTGCCAGGGGTTAGGTCCGATCTTGGTGGAGTGAGATGTACCTGGGGTGCTTAGGCACAGATGGAGGTCGGTGTCAAAAACATACACAGAAACGCTAGGATACCTGGCTTCAGATAGGTAAGCTAGTGCGAGGTAGAAATCGAGAGAAGAGAAAAAATGACGAAGTACAGAAACAAATCTCAGCCATTCCCTTACATGCGCAAAGTGTGCAAACCCTTTCAGAGACAAAATGATTAACTGGAATCCGCCATAGACGAAACTCCTTTTTCTCTGACAACGAGGATGATGATGAGCATGGGAATGACGATGAGGATGGCGATGGCGATGAGGAGGGCGATGGGGATAGCGATGAGGATGGGGATGAATAGCGATGGTGATGTCTGTGAGGATGGCGATGGGGAGGGAGAGTATACCGAAGATGATAGGCAAGCAGAACTCTCATGACAAGTCGTCAATGGTTGTGCCAATCCATCATCATTCATGGTGGAGGTAATCATCCTATGGTTGCATCATGATGGCTGATATAACGGCTGTGATTGAGCATGATCATGGAGTATTGAACAACATGCAGGGCTCTGTGTGTGTGTGTGTGTGTGTGTGTGTGTGTGTGTGTG